GAATCGAACACTTTGAACAACATTCAATCGATCAATCATACATCATGTTTCAAACATTTGACTCCACTAATCTAGCAACCTGTGGTAAAACCAGTGATTAGTTACGCCTCAAAATATTTTAGCAATCCAGTAACAGACTGACCACACAATAGATTTGTTCAGCATTGTTGGTGGGATATAACATGTGGAGTTTTTGTCTGTTGGTCTTATGGGGACCTGTAAGGCTCTGTGTGCGTATTTAAAAATATCCAACAATATTCCATCCCAAAGACTCCATCCCTGCCACCAAAAAAAAAAAAACCCACACATAAACCCACCGGGGTCTCCCTGCCTGCCCAAAGAATCTGTAAAAGCTTCTGTATGCAGGTACAAAGCCAGCGACCACTCTCTCTCTCTCTCTCTCTCTATAATGATTCTAACATAACACTAAGCCAAACACCAAAAAAAAAACTACATGTGTATATGTACAACCACGCACACATATATATATATATATATATATATATATACACACACATTACATTTTATTACAGAAATCATTAGTAAAACAATGCCCCAGCATGCATAGATAAAAAAAAGAGCCACAGGAAAATACACAGAGGCCCTATGAAAGGCAATCTGGAATATTATTATGATGAAAATGCACAGCAAAGTCATTATATTTATAATGTTTTACAAACTCATCAAATAAGTGAATAGAGATTAATTGCCCCGGTCGACCTTAAAATAATTATCAGAACGAGGCAGCTCTAAACTAGATGAAATTGATACACTTGAATAATTAGATCCTTGGCACTGACCTACTGAAGTCAATAAAGGTTATTAGGGCCAATTGCTGCCTAAACGCATTAGAGACAGAAAGAAGCACTCCGCACCACATCCAGCATTTCAGCAGCTATACGATAATCCTCTCCCTGCGTCCGCCTCTCTCTCTCTCTCTCTCTCCGCTGCCCTCACACACATACACACCCCCTACCCTCAGACACACTAAACCAGATTGGATTCGCTTAACCTTTCAGTGGCTTTGATCAAATGAGCTCACACTGCAATAACATTTACATTGACCCTCAACTCTCACACTCTCGCTGGGGAGAGAGGTCTTTACCTTCCTGTCTGCCACACACGCGCGCACGCTAGGTCAATAACATAATCAGATATCAATGGTGACCCCTGCAGTCATGATTGCTCGCTTTCTCTCGCTCGCTTTCTTTCATTGGACGGAGAGGATGAAATTATGAAATGGTCACTGTGTACGAGCCGACACACACACACACACACACACACACACACACACACACTCTCTCTCTCTCTCTCTCTCTCTCTCCCTGTAGGTAGAAAACACAAACACAAGCACACAGCCTGCAAGTGGCATGCCAGCGCATGAAATTCTCTAAAGGGGTTTAAGCATTTACCCTCCCCACTATCACGGCCTGCTAAAATTCAGCTTACCCTGTTCAATAAGGACTTCAAAGGGAATCATAAATACCTTTTGCCCGCAAATTCTACTGTACAGTGTTTTTTCTCCTCGCCCCCCTTTTCCTGCTTCTTTTCTTCCCATTTTTCACCCATTCTCCAGTAAAAACCGTCCCTTACTGTGAAATTTATTAGGAGCCTTTTATGTAGCATTTATAAGTGTAATAAGAGAAATTGGGAGGTAATTTCTGCTGTTATTTAAGCAGGCGAGCCAAAGGAAAATCCAGGTAAATGGATCTGTAATTCATTTTGATCCTACAGGAAACAACTGTTCAGAGAAAAACATGTTATTATACAAATGAGATGATGTTTGTATTTTCAAAATTAGCAGTCACACACAGAAACACTCTCAGACTGGTTCAATATAAGGCATTATTTATACATATTATTATCATGATATATACACACACACACACACACACACACACACACACACACACACACACACACACATAAATAAATAAAGACCAATACAAACACCTCCTGAAAGTAACAGAAGATGCATCTAAATGGCTCACTGTATCCATAAACCCATAATAGCTTCTATTCAGTCTGAAAATAAATGTTTCAGCATACAATATTTGATGACGGAGTATGTGGCAGAAAGATAGAATAGACACAGTGAGAGAGAGAGAAAAAGCTTTTTGATGTGACGCTCTGAGCGACAGAAGTGGAAAAAGACAAATTAGACCTAAAACATCAGAATAAACCCATGATACTGTTAACAGACCTGTCTCACTCTCAGCCCTGCAACCACATACAAATGAAAGAAGAGTCTAAAAAAAAATGCCTGGATGGTATTTAAACTATTTTGCATATAGCCAACTATCTATTCCTGTGCCAGGATAGACAGACCGAGAGAAGGAGAGAAAGAAAGTGCCACTGTCAAAAGCCTAAATAAATGTCAGTGGTGTATGAGGAGTACGATAGCTTCTCTGTAGGGACCCGACGTTCACCCAGTGTGTGTGTGTGTGCGTGTGTGTGTGTGAGAGAGAGAGAGAAATTGAGGAAAGAGACCTGAGACCTGATGTTTGATAATATTTACCTCATCTTATCAGAGCACATTTAAATGGCTATCTTTATTCTTTTCTTTCTTCCTTTCTATTTTCCTCCATATTTCCTATGTTGTTTCCATTAAGCAATTCACATTAATTCATGAGGTACAGATTGGAGAGGGGGGGGGGCAGCCACAGAAAGAGGGAGAGTGCTGTTTTATCAGGATGTCATTCAAATGGAGGGGTGAAAATTTGCATCACAACAGCCTGAAGAGCAAGAGAGGGAGACACAAGAAAAGAGAAAGAAGGAAAACGAAAGAGAGAAATCCCCATGGGAGAGGAGCGGTTTTAATAAACAGCAGGAAGAGGGTGAACACACAGAGCAACACGCAGAACGGCCAACCCCGGACCTGCTCGGACTGCAGAAAAATCAAGAAAAGTGCAGGAAGGCCACAGAGACAATTCCCTTGAATCTAGATAAACACATGTCTCTGGTAAATGCCATGACTGTCTGTTGAAATCATACTTAAATTAATTTAAATCAGCCATGAAAATATCAGATATTAGGAATTCAAATGAATATTTATTTTCTAAGTGCTTTCACATTCATGAGCTATTAATTTAAGCTCTAACAATCCTACAAATTCAATATTTGTTTAACCAATAAAATGCAGACCATGGCTTGATCGGGTTAATGTAAATGCACCCACAATTTAAAAAATATAAATAATAAAAAAGAAGCAAGACTTAATGATGAATTTACAAAAAATGGATAGATGAATGAATACGCCAAAATATTGACATTTTTCTCCTTGTCCTATCTCTTTTTTATGGTTGATATGGTTAAAACAATATATAATATAATTTCATAAATTAAAATGATCTTTTTTTATTGTATTATTTACTAATACATGATAATAATACTCAGCTATATACTAAAGAAAATAATAATTTACCACTGAAAAAATAAATAAATAAACGATGATGCTTGCGTAATATTAACTGAAACAAAACAAAAAATGTTAAGCTTGTTTACAATTTAACACATTATGCATGTCTTAAATGTCTTAATATACAGGTGGATATCAGTGCTCCTAAATTGTGTTTCTTGACAGAGGGAGACTATCTCACAGTGTGACTGTCTCACCCTTTCATACACATACACACACACACACACACACACACACACACACAGAGCGACTAGCTCAAGAGCTGGTCCTTAGCCACAGCAGCACATTAGATGTGATTACTGCTCAAAGAGCAAAAGAGGCAGCGAGAGGAAGACAGAATATGATGATACAACAGTGCCCCCTACTGAAAGTAACTACAGCTCTGAGAGCAGAGCTGTGTGCTGAACACATACACACACATATGGATCAAACATGTGTCAAACAGACAATACTGATCAGCTGTGATTGTCTAGATTTAAAGAATGTCTGAGCATCCTCTCCAGTAGTACAGAGAGCCTGGATGCTGCTCTGCATACTGGGGTCATCTGCGGGCAGAAAGGTTACTATTGGGACAGGCAGGAATATTAAAAACTGCAACATTATGAGGTTTAAATCAAATCTAATTTTCTGACCTGCACTGATATGACGTGGGCAATTCAACCATCTAGAAGTACAAACTATTACAGAAAACAACAAGCTGCACACCTCAGTGGAAAATACAACCTCATAGGTTTATCTAGCATACCTATAGGTTTTTTTTTTATTACCCAGAAAAGCACATACACACAAACTGCAAAATTATAGTGTCTTCATGTTTGCGTGACAAATGCATCTGCACTGAGAGACAAAGTCTAATCCTAATCAATGATGCAACGAAGAGCCAAACAATTACACTGCTAGAGGACTAAAAATATATTTAAAAAAAAAACTTATATATATAAACTATTATATAAAATAATTTATATATAGTGAAATAGTTAGTATAGTGATGTATATATATAGTGAAATAGTTTATATATAGTTTATGAAAGAGTTTATATTATAGTGAACTATAGGCCTGCACAGTTGAATAAATAAGCTTTCCAGTGATGTATGGTTTGTTAGGATCGGACCATATTTGGCCGAGATACAACTATTTGAAAATCTGGAATCTGAGGGTGCAAAAAAATCAAAATATTGAGAAAATTGCCTTTAAATTTGTCCAAATGAAGTTCTTAGAAATGCATATTACTAATCAAAAATTAAGGTTTAATACATTTACAGTAGGAAATTTACAAAATATGTTCATGGAACATGATCTTTACTTAATATCCTAATGATTTTTGGCATAAAAGAAAAATCAATAATTTTGACCCACAATGTATTTTTGGCTATTGCTACAAATAAACCCCTGCGACTTAAGACTGGTTTTGTGGTCTAGGGCCACACACACACACACACACACACACATACATATATATATATATATATATATATATATATATATATATATATACATATATATATATATATACATATATATACATACATATATATATATAAACTGTGCAGGCCTGGTTACATTTCACTCCATCACTCTCACCATTCGCTCCATTTCCTTCCAGTCTTTCTCCATCTGTTCCATGGGTTTAGTCCACCAGCTGCAGAATCGAGCATAACGTCGGCCCTGGAACCAGTATTGCCTCAGCCATTCAAACTCCACCTGAAAGGAGCAACACAAGGTCAAGATGTTAAAGATGCAGGGTTTCATTTCCAAAATAAACTGCAAAATTATTATTATTTTTTTTAAACAGGTTTCCTAATCGATCTCTTTGTCTTCCATTGGCTGGCCAAACAGATAGTCCTGGCCTAACCTCACACAACTTGTTGATCAAATGATGCAACAAATCTCAAACAAACAATGTTCAAAAAATAGCCATAGTGTTTTCACTTTTCAGGGAAATACATTTAATACAAAAAAAAAATTATACATTTTATTTCTTACTTTTTATTGTCATTTTTATTTATTATGCATCTGTTATACTTTTTTTTTTTTTATTCCTTTTTATGTAAAGCACTTATAACCATTTTTATTGTGAAATGCTTTACCGTACAGAAGTAAAACTTGCCTTGGCTAAAAAAAAATTAAGGATACATTGATATAAAAATTCTGGCTAAAATGATAAGCTGATAATTATTATTATCATAATTATTATAATATATTATAATATATTATTATCATAACTGTTATTGCTGATAAACTATATCTGGTCTATTTTATTAAATAAGTATTCTATAAAATGTATTTGTCTTTCAATAAAACATTATTTCCATAGAACATATTTTTCTAAACCATTTTCTGTAAATACAAAAACACTAAAAACGTCTCGGTTACGTATGTAACCCTCGTTCCCTGAAGGAGGGAACGGAGACGTCACGTCGGTGACCGACAAATTGGGATCTGGCTTAAAGAGACCAATCCACTTCGAGTGTAAACTAAACGAGCTAATGCACATTGGCATGCGATGATTGCATCCAGCTGCCACTGATCACAGCGTGAGCATAAAAAGGCAGCAAATGCAATGCATACCAGGTTTTCGCTGAGAAGACGAACCGGTGAACCGGCAGCTCAGCGGTGGTACAGCAGCCGTGGCAACGGGACGGGACGTGATGTGACGTCTCCGTTCCCTCCTTCAGGGAACGAGGGTTACATACGTAACCGAGAAGTTCCCTTTCAGTCGGTCATTCCGAGTCACGTCGGTGACCGACGAAGCGCCATGGATGCTGCCCCTTCCAGTGTCCTTTGCGAGCTGCCTGCGCCCCTTTGAGGTGTAGGGCGGGGCTCGCAACAAGAATACCAGTTACTGTTGTCATAGCACTACCCACTCAGTGAGATCGGATAACACTGGGAAAACGTCCCCGTTCCACTTGGAACAGGAACGTTGCGGAAGCCCCATCCTTCCCGAAGGAGGTTTCGGAAGCACTTACACATATGACATCCGTTTAAGTGCATATGGAAGATTAGAGATGATTGTTACCCTCATGGAAATGGCAGAAGTCTCCCGGGGAAACACGGGCTCTGAGGCTATACCGTGGACTTTACACATATGGGAACCACTTAGGCCTCTACATATGGAACCCAGCCCTCTACCGGTTCTCACGGATTCAGCGAGTGAGGGCCTGGTGCCAGACATTCCGCCACGTCTGGCTGCCGAGGGGACGGAGGAGCTCGACAGGGCCTACAGTACGGAGACTCTGGAGCAGTTTTAGCAAGCCGACACTAAACCGGGGCCTCTCAGCGACCTCTACCCATTTGAGGTGAGAACACAGGAGGATACCGGCTCCACACGAAGGCTATAGAATCTAGCAAACATGTTGGGGGTCGCCCAGCCCGCAGCTCTACAAATATCTGTCGGAGAGGCACCACGAGCCAGTGCCCAGGAGGACGCAACACTCCTAGTAGAGTGAGCTCGCAACCTGAGCGGGCAGGGCACAACCTAAGGTCCTAAAGCTTTGTGTCCGGTCTACGTAGCATCTCAAGGCTCGGACGGGACAGGCAAAGCTAGGGCTGGGTCTGCCTCCTCCGGGGGCAGCACTTGCAGGCTCACCACCTGATCCCTGAAGGGAGTAGTGGGAACCTTGGGCACATAGCCGGGCCGGGGCCTCAGGATTACCTGGGAGTCAGCCGGCCCAAACTCAAGGCACAATTCGTCGACCGAAAATGCATGCAGGTCCCCTACCCTCTTGATGGAGGCCAGTGCAAGCAGGAGCAGAGTTTTCATTGAAAGAAACTTTAGCTCGACTGACTGCAAAGGCTTAAATGGGCCCTGCTGTAGTGATTTGAGCACTAGAGATAGGTCCCAAGAGGGTATAGAGGAGGGCCGGGGCGGATTTAACCTTCTCGCCCCCCTAAGGAACCTGATGACCAGATCATGCTTCCCTACCGACTTCCCTTCCATGGGGTCATGGTTAGCAGCAATCGCAGCGACATAGACTTTAAGGGTGGAGGGAGACCGCCTTCTCTCCAGCCCTTGCTACAAAAAGGAAAGCACGACCTCAATCGGGCATCTCCGGGGGTCTTCCCGATGAGAAGAACGCCACTCGACGAACAGGTTTCACTTCAGGGCGTAAGCATGTCTCGTAGACGGTGCTCTTGCCAAAGTGATGGTGTCAACTACCTCTTGGGGTAGGTCACCAAGAACCTCCGCTTCCCGTCCAGGGACCAGACATGAAGTTTCCAGAGGTCTGGACGTGGGCGCCACAGGGTGCCCCGTCTCTGAGTCAGTAGATCCTTCCTCAAAGGAATCTGCCAGGAACGGGGCTGTCGCGAGGAGCATTAGTTCGAGGAACTTTACTGGACCTTCTGGGGATGGAGTCTCCATTCTCCCGGAAGCGTATGGTTGAGCAGACCTGGAATGTGAATGGCACGAAGTGACCTCAGAACCTTCTGACTCCAAAGGAGGAGGTGGAGGGCGAGTTGCGACATGCAACGGGAGAGCAGACCACCTTGTCGGTTGATGTACGCAGCGGTCAAGAAATGGTCTGCGGCGCGGAAGGATCGAC